CTCTGTCTTTGTTCCCCCCTCTCTAGTGGGCTGTTAGTGAGAAGTATTCTGTCATAATTTAGTGTTTCTTATGAATCTGACTATTAGTAACTATAATTTATTTCTGGATAGAAGGTAGTTCAAAAGTTCATTTATTAGAAATTAGGAATATGTTAGATTAAGTGTTATAGTGAAATTGTAGGAATCATGACACACATTAATTTAGTCTTTTCTGAGACTTCATAAAGCCTCTGGGTAAAGATCAGAGGGGAGAGCAGCAGAGGGGATGTTATGGTAGTTGTCTGCTGTAGGTCACCAAACCAGAAGGAAAAGGTGAATAAGGCCTTTTTAAACAACTGACAAAAGCTTCTAAATTGCAGGACTTGGTCTTATGGGGGACTTTTTATTATCAGGACATCTGCTGGGATGGAAACACAGCAGTGCACAAGCAGTCTTGCAGATTCCTGGAGGGCGTTGGGGATAACTTTTTGATACAGATGGTGGAGAGGTCATTTAGGGGGAAAGCACTTCTTGACTTACTGCCTACAAACAGGGAGAAATTGGTTGAGAATGTGAATGTGGAAGGTAATTTGGGTGACAGTGACCATGAAATGATAAGAGTTCAAGATTCTTAAGGGAGGAAGGAAGGAAAGGAAGATCTGAGGGGAAAAATTGTCCACCTTCCAGCAGAGTCTTGGAACCTGCATGGCAGGGAGTGGTGAAGGCAGCTGGCTCCATAGTGTAGGGGTTCCCCCGATGTCACGAGTGCTGGGAGCAGCATGTGCGCCATGTGGAGCCCTGCACCATAGGTGGGCTGGCCAGGCTGTGATCCTTGCCATCATGTGCAGTGCTGGCCGGAGCTGTGCACCACTGGGCGGCAGCGCCTGAATGAGTCATGAGCACTGGCTTCCTACTGCTTTTGCTGCCACTGGTGGCAGGGGTTGTGCGGTATTGTGGGGGGGAGTGTGCGGGGGGGTCCCTATCCCCCTCACTCAACCCCCACAACCATCCCACATATACACCCTCCAACATACCCTATTGCACACCCCACCCCACACACACACCCACCCACCCACTGCTCCCTCCCCACAATATACAAGAGTAAGCCTTTATTTTTGGGCTAGGATGCAGTCATCTCTATATACCGTATGCAAACATAAATCATGAAAAAAACTTTTTATGATAAAATTAAAATATGTTTATAATAGGTCTTTGCCTTTTAGTATATGATTTGGTTTTTTTTCTGATTCCAAGCTGTCAACCCTCCCCTCCCAAAAGGAGTACTTCCAGGGGGCAAGGGGAAGTACTTGTGGTGGCAAAGGTCAGGAGTTAGGGTGTGGGACTTCCAAGCCCAAGATGGTGACCAGGGGGTGTCAAGGGGCAGGGATACCTTTGTGGCTCTCGACAGCTCACCAAAACTCATTAAGCGGTCCTCCAGCTGAAATAATTGTCCACCCCAGATCTAGAGGAATCAAGGTAATCAGGAACAGCCATCATGGATTTATCAAGAGCTAGTCATGCCTGACACACCTAATTTTCCTTCTGTGATAAAGTGACAGGCTCTGGATGGGAGGAGATCAGTGGATGTGGTATACTTTGACTTCAGTAAGGCTTTTCACATAGTTGCTCATGATATCCTCATAATGAGCTAAAGAAATAAAGACTAGACAAATGTACTGAAGGAATTGGTTGAAGTGAGCCTTTAGCTATCCTCTCCAAGTACTCATGGAGGTTGGGTGAGGTCCCTGAAGACTGGAAAAGGGGCAAATATAGTACCCGTCTTTATGGAAGGGCAGAAGAAGGTGAATACTAGAGGTGCACCGATACATCAATCCAATATTGGATTGGCACTGATATAAAGAAAATTGACTGGATCAGAAAATTGGCCTGACATAGCCAATAAATGGCTTGTGCATGCATGCAGCCACAGTGCAGCGCATAGATGGCGAGGAGCACAGCCCAGCAGCATGGAGAACTAAGTTCAGCTAGTAAGTCTGTTGTGGTGGGAGGGAAGGGGCATGTGGGGGCAGATCAAGGCCCCCGCAGTGAGTGAAGGAGTGGGGTTGGGGCAGGTGCTGCCTGGACAGGGCGGAACATGGGACAGAATTGTAGGTGGTCCGGGGGGCGTGGAGTGGGGGTGGCTCCCACTGCTGCACCCTGGGAGGGAGGGGGGGCATGTAAATGTCGAACCAGCGTCAAAACAGTGAAACTGTTTAGACAAAACAAAATGGAACAGTGGTTTCAAATCAAAATGAAACGCTGTTCCGTCAAAATGCAAGTCAAAACGGAACGGTGTCGTTTTGCACAGCCCTACTGCTCAGCTTCTCCTGCTTGACTCAGTTCTGGGAGTCAGAGGTATTCTAGGTTTTGTTTTTCGTTTTTTAAGAAAAATTTTTCATGTTCCAAGCCAAATCAATTCCAAATTTGTGACTCATTCAAGAACTGTATGTGGCTTTACTACCGGCAAGCATTCTCCGTTCATGCCTGGGGTTTCAGATGCTTCCAAATCCTTTGGCAGGCATCCTACATGCAGGCCCAAGTCTTCAGGCTTGGGGTTTGGATGACTCTGAGTTTTGCTTGCCCTCAACATATGGTTGCAGGAGCAAGCTAGCTCCAGGGGTCAGGGTAGCACAATGCAGTTCATGGTGGCGGGTGAATTAGCTGCCCAGAGGTCCCCAAGGAGAGCCCATAGGAAGTTGCAGGTGAGGCGGGTGTGCAGGGCTTGCAGGTGGGGGATTACCTGTCTGCTCCTGCATGATCCAGTTGTGCACAGTGCAGTGGAGTGGGGGAGCAACTGCCTGTGTGTGGTATATGGTCGAAGGAGCCCATAGTCACCTCGGTGTGCAGCCCCAACTGTTGTAGCCCATGCAGTATGCACCCCACAGCCGCTGAGAAGATGCCACCCTGGTGTAAGATTGTCAAATTAATTTTCTTAGTCTCTCTAGCGAAAGCACTAGTGGTGTGTGTATCTACAAACTGCACCTTTTATGCTTTCTAGTTTTTATTTTTTGTTTATAATTATCTTTGACAGCCCTTTTCCCAGGGAAAAATATTATTATACTTTTCATCTGACTCCTGGAAGAGAGAGAGATATAAATTTATTTTATAAAGTCAGTTGGAATGAGTAGGTAAGTAAACAATCTCTTAATGCTGTATTTATTTATTTATTTACAACAGATTCATCACTGAGGCCTGATTCTGAAAGCTGCTGTTAGACCCTCAGCTGCACCTCCCAGGATCAGGCACTCTGTATGCATTAGTAGAAGTTCATATGCTTTTGAGCCAGCAGTCCTTTATGTATAACAGAGTAACATTTTTCCCCAAATCTGTGAGAATACTTTATGTAAAATGGATATGTGCAATCTCTTACTTTTTGTTTGATAGCATTTGTAGTAGCAACTAATAGCCAGTAAGGTGAAAAAAATCATGCATTGCAGACTTAGAGGCAGAACCTTTTCTCTTTGAAACTGATGATACAATTCCACCAACCTGAAGGGGGACAGAAGTTTGCCCTGTAAGACACCATCTGTAGACTTTTTTTTTTTAAGCTTTTTTGTAGCAAATAAGTTTTGGGTGAGTCTCATGAACATGAATCCTGATGTGTGTCATGGGACTGTTTACAGAAGTGAAGTTATTCACAAGCATAAAGGTTTGAAGGATTAGTTTTTAATATGCAAAGGGAATATGGTAGAATATTATATCTCATTTGTTTTGAAAGTTAAAAATACAAGTTCAGACAAACTGATCAGTACTTAATGTCCAAACCTGCTAGAAAGTATTACTTTCTAGGCTCCCTTCCTTTTAATTTGGTTGAACATTTTCAGAAAGTAGAGAAATTCTGAAGGTGGGGTTTTTTATTATTATTTTTTGATAAATATAGTTGTGATTTGAGAAGTCAAAAATTATAGGTTATTTTTATTGCTTGTGATATTGACTTGACTTGATGGGAAGGAAGGGCAAAGTCTATCACAGAAAGACTCGTTAGGGGCTAGATTGTGGCAGTATTTCCCATGACCAACTCTCTTCCCACAGATCACGCAGAGGACTCTGTTTCTAACTAGGGATCTGTAAGTGGGCAGGTGAATAGTACAATAAGAAATATGTTCCATGATTGTACTACATTCCTATAAATCCACTCCTCCATCTCCCCTGTACACCTCATTTTCTCTCTCAAGATTATACTACTTTGTTATAAATCTACCCCTCTACACTCGCATACTCTCTTGCTCACACTCTCTCCCTCTCATTTCCTAAGCAAAGTTTCCTGGTGTTGCTGTCAACTGAAGAACAAATCACTCTCCGTTGGATCTCTTAGTAGGGGTGGGTTGCCGAGGGAGCAGCAAGCCTCCGTGCTTAGGGCTGTGCACAAATGGCCTTCCTGCTGTTCCTCTTGGGTGTATGGGTTATATAGGCCAGTTCCACAGTTGGACAAACCTAGGATAACCCAACACTTTTTCCACCCTGGTTGATTTTTTTTTTTACATTAAGGCAATTGAGCTCCCTTTTTTCTATGAATACATCAAGTATTATTAGAAAAACAAATCTGGTTTATTGTTTATATTCCTATAATGCTTACTAGCTATTTCAGTACTCCATTTTTATTTTTGAATGCGTTAAAAAAATTTCTGTGCATTCATAATGCTTATCAGCACCCATATATATAGTCCTCTGAGCTATGTGAGTTATTACTGATGATGTGAAAATGCTGTGAGTTACTTATCAACTGTAAATCCCATGCCAGTGCTTTTTATTCTTTTAGCTCGTATTCTCTGTATTTTAATCTGTCAGTAGCAATTTAACAGATTTAGTTGCTGGTAAAACATGGTAAAATGTTATGGGGCACTATTACTATTAATGCATTACATAATTTATACAATGTATTTATTTACATTGAATAATACATTACCCATAACTGAGTCAAGAAAGTTAATAAATGTTAATAAGAAGTTGATATTTTCAAGAACTTTTTGTACCTTTGATTATTTTATCTCTTAATTTGGTGATTTTTCTTTTTCTTACAGATAAAATTGAAGAAGCACAAAAAGAACTTAACGGGACAGAAGACCAACAGAAAGGTAAAAAAAACTGAGACTTGTTGCAAACATAGAGGTTAATCCAAATCTTTCTTAAGTCAGTGAAAAGACTTTGCTAAGCTTTGGATCAGGCCCAGAATATGTACATGTGTAGAGCAGATGCTGTAATCCATAATGCCTCCAGTCTTGCCAACAGGCACCTGTTTATTTTAACCATGTTAACAGTCCCTTTGATGAAAATACTGCGGTGAATGAATTTTAGTCTATGCATAAGTGTTTAACTGAACTGTACTAGCAGTCTGTGATGTAGATTAGCTGGCTGTTAATAATTATCTTTTGTCTATGAATAGCAATATGTGATAGGTTCTAATAGATGGTGAGAGGATATTTATCGTCACAGTTTTAAGAAACAGATGACCTGTGACGGATGAAATTTGTGCAGCAGAACCTAGAAAGCAGTTCGTAACAGTTGTATTGCAAAGCTAACTGGAATAGCATAGGATTTTAATACTCTGCATTATAATTGCAAAGGTATATTAGTTCTTGATGCTGAGTTCTAACTGCCATTCTTCTGACCTGCTGGAGATGGTGGACAGCTTGATCTTGGATGCTGTTGTCTGGAAACAGAGTTGATTATTTTTGACGTAATGAGTTTTGTAACTTTTTATAGGTCTTTTAGTTACAGACTTTTTTATTGTACCCTGTCTGTACTTTGAAGACTGTTTGTCAACATCCTGCTGGTGGAGTTTCGCAGATTCACTAACATTTGCAGTGGACAGTCAGGAGCAAAAAAGAGAACATAACTCAGTCTTCCCTTGGTCCCAGACCACCGCTCTTTTAGTTGGACCATGGGGCTTTTGGTATGATGAGAAAGGGAGAATCATCATAAGAGCAGCTGAATGAAAACTTTGCAGTTATAATCAAGTCCATGACATTTCACCATATTTTATAAATAGGACAAATAGACAATAAAGATGTGCTAATGAGTAACAATGAAAGCTGCAGCCTAAGGTACTGTATTTGAATATCATTTGCAAATTTAGAAACCTTTTCATATCAACAAATCAGATTTTCTACCACACTTTACCCAGTTATGGCATATTATACCACAGCAGATGACAGGCCCCTTTGTATTTTCATGTGAAAATAAAATGTGAGAAGTCAGGTTTTACAGGGGGGAGCAGGGAGTATTGTTGTCAGCCTTGGAGATGTAACAGGATTATATGTGTCCCTGTGAAAGTTGGGGGAAGGCTGCAAGCAGTAAATGCTGGGATACCAGAGAACACCACAGCGGATACTG